ATTTTTAAAAAATCAGAATTAATTTAAAACAAAATCAGAATTAATTTAAAACAAAATCAGAATTAATTAAAAACAAAATCAGAATTAATTTAAAACAAAATCAGAATTAATTTTAAAAAAAATCAGAATTAATTTTTAAAAAATCAGAATTAATTTAAAACAAAATCAGAATTAATTTAAAACAAAATCAGAATTAATTTAAAACAAAATCAGAATTAATTTAAAACAAAATCAGAATTAATTTAAAACAAAATCAGAATTAATTAAAAACAAAATCAGAATTAATTTAAAACAAAATCAGAATTAATTTTTAAAAAATCAGAATTAATTTAAAACAAAATCAGAATTAATTTAAAACATACCAGAATTAATTTAAAACTAAATCAGAATTAATTTAAAACAAAATCAGAATTAATTTTAAAAAAAATCAGAATTAATTTTTAAAAAATCAGAATTAATTTAAAACAAAATCAGAATTAATTTAAAACAAAATCAGAATTAATTTAAAACAAAATCAGAATTAATTTAAAACAAAATCAGAATTAATTTAAAACAAAATCAGAATTAATTTAAAACAAAATCAGAATTAATTTAAAACATACCAGAATTAATTTAAAACTAAATCAGAATTAATTTAAAACATACCAGAATTAATTTAAAACACAATCAGAATTAATTTAAAACAAAATCAGAATTAATTTAAAACAAAATCAGAATTAATTTAAAACAAAATCAGAATTAATTAAAAACAAAATCAGAATTAATTTAAAACAAAATCAGAATTAATTTAAAAAAAAATCAGAATTAATTTTTAAAAAATCAGAATTAATTTAAAACAAAATCAGAATTAATTTAAAACAAAATCAGAATTAATTTAAAACAAAATCAGAATTAATTTAAAACAAAATCAGAATTAATTTAAAACAAAATCAGAATTAATTAAAAACAAAATCAGAATTAATTTAAAACAAAATCAGAATTAATTTTTAAAAAATCAGAATTAATTTAAAACAAAATCAGAATTAATTTAAAACATACCAGAATTAATTTAAAACTAAATCAGAATTAATTTAAAACATACCAGAATTAATTTAAAACACAATCAGAATTAATTTAAAACATACCAGAATTAATTTAAAACACAATCAGAATTAATTTAAAACAAAATCAGAATTAATTTAAAACAAAATCAGAATTAATTTAAAACAAAATCAGAATTAATTTAAAACAAAATCAGAATTAATTTAAAACAAAATCAGAATTAATTTAAAACAAAATCAGAATTAATTAAAAACAAAATCAGAATTAATTTAAAACAAAATCAGAATTAATTTTTAAAAAATCAGAATTAATTTAAAACAAAATCAGAATTAATTTAAAACATACCAGAATTAATTTAAAACACAATCAGAATTAATTTAAAACAAAATCAGAATTAATTTAAAACAAAATCAGAATTAATTTAAAACAAAATCAGAATTAATTTAAAACAAAATCAGAATTAATTTAAAACAAAACACAAATTTATAGAAACATGAAGACAAGCTTTAAACGCTACTTATATATGTTTTCAATTATAATACCTGTAGTTTTGCTTTATAATTTGATTTTTATCACCGCTATATATGATGGAGGGATTAAACAATTTGACGAATTGAACAAAACTTTGCCTTTTGGTTCTATTAAAGTAAAGGTATCAGAATTATTTTATTGGTGGTTTTCGGTCCCCCATTATTCACAGTTCCTGTTAATTCTCCAAAAACTCTGGGTTATCGAGTTCTATTCAGTTAACTGTTTAACAAACTACTTCCAATGTAATTTATTTTTAAATGAAAGGATTTTCCACCATTAATTGTAACTGTTATTACAATACTTCCGTTTATTATAATTTTCATTTGTGGCTATAAAATGGTTCATTATGTTAATTTACATAGTGGATTTAGTCAAAATATGAAGAGATTGCTTAAACAATTGACAATAACACTGATAATTCTGGTATATAAAATTTATTGGGTATTTGTGTAGTTTACGCCCCATAAGCTCCGCCTCTTCTCTCTTTCATTGTTTTAAGACTTATTTTCTGAAATAAAATGAAAATATCGGCCCAACGGTCACTTTTTACAAACTGGAGAGAGAAGAAAAATGGGCGTGGCTTATGGGGTGTAAACTACACTAGTACATTTTATTTAATTTTATTTTAAATTTTCAGGTAATTATTCCATTTATTAATCAATTATTAAGTATATTATCTGTGCTCATTACACTAAATAAAAAAAATGATTCAGCCAAAGATAATGATATAAATCCGATTTATATATTTCTTGCAATTTTCACTCATTTTACACCTGTTTTTAACCCAATTGTTTGTATAATAACTAATAAGCCATACAAAGAAGCTGTTTGTAATCGTTTAAGGATACATCCACAATGATTTATGTATTTTACGTTATTGTAGTTAATTATGTATAAAGATATTATGATCCAATTTTATATTTTTAAACACACCCTTTTGTACTGGGGGCAATGAGTGATATGGACAGTAGGTAATTTGGGCAGTAAACTTTTTTAAAAACCTAGAAAAAATAATTTTGAGTGATTTGGGCAGTAACTTATATTTTTTAAAATTGAAAATAGCAGGGTATCCCGCCAATGTGTCCGTTTTCTCTTACATTTGTCCCTGTTTCCCCTCCATATAACCTTTTTGTGGTTGATTTAATTACACCAAAAAAACTAAATTTATTTAAAAATTTTATATAAACTTTATGACTATCGTTGGTAGGTAACCGGGAAATGAAAAAGTTGAAAAGTGGGAATGGAACAAAAATATAAAAAATAGAATCGGTAAATACATGGCTAAGAAATAATTTTTTTAAATATAGGTAATTAAAGTTAAGGCGTTTAATTATTCCATTTGTTTAATTAAACCGAATAAATAAAATCAGAATTAATTTAAAACATTGTTGGAATGATTAAAACCAGAATTATTAATGTTTTAAAATAATTCTGATTTTTATTTAATATTTTTAATCAGAACTAATTTCAAACAAATTTTTATAAAAATCAGAATTATTTTAAAACATTATTAATAATTCTGGTTTTTATTTAAACTTGGCTTTTCTAATCAGAATTAAATTAAAACATTTATTTTAATATTTTTCTTAATTCTGATTTTTCTCCCTCTCCCAAAGTAGCCAAATGGAAGAGGCTCGAGCTTATAAAACAGTGAATTGCTTATCAAGTAACTTAAAATTTTGCAATAGTAACTCTTGTGTTTTTTAACTAAGTTCTCCAAAAATTTCAGAATTTTTGAGCGAAAAATGCCTGATTTTTGGAGGTTTATTGACTATAACTTTAAAAATATTTGATCCAAAATTCTGAAATTTCTGGAGAAGGTAGTCTAGGATGTTAAATTAGAAAAAATTTTCATGAATTTAGGCTTAGGCTGAAGTCAGTTTTAAGTCTCGCGCCAGCGACCTCAACCCAAATGGAATAATTTTTTAAAACAATTTAACTAAAAATTAATCGTCTTCTATTTCCCATCAAAATAATTACTTAAATATTCCCCCTCTTCAAATTGACACCAAGTCTCATCCATTTGTTCTTGAATATAATGCATTGGATACAACATACAAAAACCTCCAAAAAATATAAGACCAAGACACCAAAAAATAAACCGGCAACATCCTAGACGACAACAAAGGCCAATTTGTTGACAGAAACTTTTAAAAAAGAATTTAATTATAAAAATAAATTTTAAAAAATCAGAATATTTTAAAAACATTACTTATACTTAAAGGATTAAATAAATAAAACCAGAATTTATTTAAAACATGACTAAAATAAAAACCAGAATTAAATTAAAACATTGTTTAAATAAAAATCAGAATTAATTTAAATAAATTTTTAAACTAATTCTGGTTTTAATTTTAATAATGTTTTAAACAAATTCTGGTTTTTATAAACTTGTTTTAATAAAATTCTGATTTTAAAAAATGTTTTAGGTTAAAACAAGTTTTAAATAAAAACCAGAATTAGTTCAAAACATTAAAAATAAAAATCAGAATTTCCTTAAAAACATTCCTAACAAAAGTCAGAATTAAATTAAAACATTATCTTATTGTTAGTTAAAACCAGAATTGTTTACGAACAATCTGAATAAAAATCAGAATTTGTTCAAAACATTATAAAATAAAAATCAGAATTAAATTAAAACATTATCTAAGTTAAAACCAGAATTAGTTCAAAACATTATAAAAACCAGAATTTCCTTAAAACATTCCTAACAAAAACCAGAATTAAATTAAAACATGAACTAACAACAAGTTAAAATCAGAATTGTTTCAATTTTAATAAAATCAGAATTTAATCAAAACATTATTTAAAGCATCCAATAAAATGTTTTTAGATAAAAGAACATTTTTCTACCTCAAAATAGTTAATAACCAAAAGAACCCAACATCAATTAATAAAGTAAAACCAAAGACCATTAAAATATCTGGACTGTCGTAAACAGAATCTCTTGGAGGAGCCAGGTATCTAGGCAAAAACATTTTGTGAACATTCCCCACCATTACAGCAAAAGAAGTTGTTAGACGGCAATAAGTTAGTAATAAATCAACTGAATCCGCAAAATTTTTGCGTCTTAAAATTAAAAAAAAATATTATTTTTAATTTTTTTTATTAAAAATTTTTTTAATATTCGTAAAAACTGAAAAAAAAATCCCAAACAAAAAATTTAATTTTTTTCTCCAATTTTTCTTGGTGGTAGGACATTTGCGGACATAAAATTTTTTAAAAAAGTCCGCAAGCGTACAATTTTTTGTTTCTAAGATATATGTATTTTTGTCATATAAATATGACGATTTTTTAAAAATTTGAAAAAATTTTAAAAGAAAACCTAACAAAAATCAAAATAGAATTTTAATTTTTGAGCTCCAAAAATATCCCAAAAAAGGCTTAAAAGTCATTTCTCCAAAAAATTTTTTTTGAAGAATTTTAATTTAAAACCTTCTCTCAATTTTTGCCTTTTCCCTTAGCAAAGCCAGCTCTGCTCGTTTTTTCTCTTTTCGTTCTTGCTTGGCTAACAATTTTTCAGACTTTTCTTTGTCCCGTTCTTGAAGACGTTTTGCTTCTATAAAATCTTTCTAAAAATTTTTTTGACTAGAAAAAACCTTCAATTTTCTCTGTCCGCTTTTGTGAATCACTTTTTTTGGTTAAAAATGAAGGGATTAATTTTTTCAGTCCAGTTCGTTCAGCTGTTGGAGGCTCTCGATGAGTGATCAAAACTTGAAAAAATAATTTTGGGAGTTAAACAACTAAAAAACTTATTTTCGAAAATCAAAAATTTCTCAAAAAAAATAAAATAGTATTAAAATTTTAAAAAAGATTCACTATATTTTAGCCCAGAAAAATAATTTTTTGAAATTTTTAAAAATTATCAACCTTCTAATTGGTCTTGTTTACTCTTTCCTGCTTTTTGACGATCTAAGCGAATATTTGGCATAGCCTGTTCTTCATTTTCAAGCAATTTAGGGTATAATGTAGGTCTTCCAGTTTCAATATTTCCTTCTTCTTCACTAGAGGAAGAATCGTCCGCCTAGAAAATTTTTATCAAGAATTTTTTAAGAACATAATTTCATAGTCCATCCCATAGAACCTATTGCGGATATCCCACCTTTAATAAAATTCGAGGAATATCTGTCTTTGACTTTTTGTGGCCCGGCTCTGGGTTTTTTTTTCAAGTCTTAACTCTGGCTCTGGTTTTTTTGAAATCCTCGCTCAGACTCTTGTCATCTTAAAATCTTACAATTAGCCTCTGTTCCTATTTGACACAGGTAAATTTTGCTAGCTATTCTAAAGTTAGATCCACAGGGATATACATTGTCGAGACTTGTTACAAATAAATTATTCTAAGTTAGTCTTATTAAATTCATTGTATTTTTCATATTTTTCTCTAAATGTAATAAAAAATATGAAGCAAATAAAAAATTAGATTTTTATAAATTACTCCGTAAATATTGTCCGCAACAATTTTTAAATCCGCAAAAAAATTTTTAAGGTGGTAAAAACCTTTTTATTTCCAGCTCTTCTGCTTTCTCTTTTTTCCCTTCTTAAAGTCTCAACTCGTTTCAATTCAACTTCAGCCTTGGTCTTCCCTTCATATTTATAAAATTGTTCATAAATTTCTTTAAAAGATTTGTCGGAATATTCTCCATATTTTGCCCGAATTAAGCGAATAAATACAATTAAATAATTTTCAGGCCTCAAAGCTGGGAAGCAAATACACAAAAATAAATGGAACCAAAACCAAAAAATATCATAGGATTTCCATAAAGTAAAGAAAATACAATTGACATAAATTGCTGTTAACCTTCGGGGAAATTTTAAAAATTCAAGAAAAAAAATTTTTTTAAGAAACCAGTTAAAATGAGCAATAGATGCAAGTATAAGACGAAAACAAAACCAAAATTTGAAGCTAAACCAGCCCATGAAGGCAAATTAATGTAGTGAATTTTAGATTAACATGCTTTAAAATTAGAGGGGGAATGATAGAGAAAAATTAGAAAATGAAGAAAAAATTTTTTTTAATTAAAAAGCAGTCGGGATAAAGAATGGATACCAAAACAAGGTTAACAAGGTGTCCATTGGCAAATGATTGAAAATCTAATGGAGTAGAAGTCTTTTTTTTCTTTCATTATCTTTTCTTTCATTTCTTTTTAAGCGATTATATGGGCTGCTTTCGATTCGTCCCCTCTAAATTCGTCCCAATGAACTCAAACCTCCACTCATCCCACTTAACAAAACCCCCAACTCGTCCCGACTCAAAATGTCCAACAGAGTAAAAAATGGGGGTTATCTTACTCAAAATTAAACTGTTGTTGGAAACACCATTAAAAATAAATTTTTAAAAAAGAACTTGACATCTAAAAAAAATCTCATCAAACCATCTACATTTTTCAAATTGATTTGGATTTGTCTCAAAAAAAACAATGTCTCCAAATCAAATTGATTTGGAGGTTCGCTCGCATCGATGAATATCCCTGATCAGTATTTATCGTTATCGGTATTTTCCCGTATTATAGTATGGAATAAGGTATTCAGGTTTATAATTTAGGGCAATTAATTATCCATTTATTCAACTAACAACAAGTATTAATTTAAACAGGGTTGCCAGATGTACTTATTTTGGAAGTACAGTACTTACAAATCGACCCTTGTACTTCCAAAATTAAACACGGATTTATTTGTAAGTACGTACTTACAAATAGACTTTTTGGTTAAAATATTAAATTTAACCTTAAAATTTCCAAAACTTTCGCCTGCGGCGCAAAAAATGGAAGAAATCTGCCTAAAGACCTCCAAAATTCTCAAAATTTTCGCCTGCGACGCTTATAAAACTCATTTGGATAAGAATATCAAATATTTAAGTTAAAATAAATTTTTTAGATTGTATTTTTGGAGCGTACTTATATTTTGAAAATTTATTCCCCTAAGTACTTCCAAATTGAACTTTTTGTACCTTCACTTAACATTTTCCAGATGGCAGCCCTGATTTAAAACATTGTTGAAATGATTAAATAAAATCAGAAATAATTTAAAAAATCAGTATTAATTAATCAGAATTAATTAAAAAAGGATTTGTTTTATTAAGAAAATCAAAAAAATTATTTAAAGATTTCCCTTCTTTAAAATGACACAAAGTCTCATCTACCAGGTCATATTGAAGAAAAAGCATTGGATAAAACATAAAATAACTCCCAATAATTCCAAGAAAATAACTCCACAAGGTAAAATAGCAACAACCAAGACGACAACAAAGTCGTATGTGTTGATAATATCTTTTTTAAATAAATTTGATTTAATTGATAAACATTTTTGAATAAAATATGTTACTGTAAGGTATATCCGTTGATTGCCTAAGCAAAGGTGATCTTTTGGGCGAGCATTATGCATTAATGGATTTTCCCAACCATTACATTATATTTATTATTTATCGCTATTTACTGTGTCACCTCCCATTCACATGCTTATGTTTATATATTGTTTATTGCTTCACCGATAAATCAGTTCCCAGTTAAACAGTCTTTTAATATGTGCCCCGAAGGAAGAGCACACCGGTGTGGCTCAGTGGTAAAGGCTTAGCTAGGTAGGGTCTGGCCAACCTAATAGCTTTCCTTAGAGAATATAATGGTTAAATGTGCCTAGGTTTAGTTTAGAATGGACCCAGCATACTTCCACTTGACTTTAACTCAATAAGGTCTACCGCACTAGACTACACTCTAGAATATAACATTTTGAGATCAAAGAGTCCTAGAGATCAAATTTAAAAATAACAGTAATATAAACGAATGTTCTTTTCTATTTTGTGGTCCAGAAGTCCGCAAATTTTGTCAGCAATAAGACCTTATTTTTCCTTGTACTCGTACCTTTTTTGCAACGTACTCATTAGAAATCGAGATTTTTGAAGCCTGGGCCTGTTCCAGGAACCTGGGTTTGATTTATTGATCTGGGCCGGATCCTGGGGTTGTAGTCAAGGAAAACCCCAGGAAGGTCAATAAATTCCCGCGCCTGGACTCTGTTTACAGGAAAAACATAGACCTAGGTCCAGAACCAGATCGACCTCTAGCACTCACACTTTATACAAAAGTACGAGTACGAATTTTGGTACGAGCTTCCAGACACTAAATTTACTCCGACTTAGAGCTTCACACAATCTTTTAGTCTATTTTTAACTTACATGTAAAGACCGAATATTTCAAAAGAAACTGTATCAATTGCTAATGTAACGCTTGAATAAAAAAATTAAAATTGAACAGAAAAATTAAGAAACAAACGTATAGAATATATTAGCATTACTATCATGTTTGGTGATATTCCCATGAAGTTCAAATAAAGAAACTATCATACGGTAATGTGTTAATAACAGTTCAACTGAATCGACAAGATTTTTGCGCCTTAAAGAGATTTAAAAAATTATCTTGGCGCTTCTTTACCACCCAATTCATTCTCAAGATACACCCTATTATTTAAATCAGTTATTCGTCAATTTTACTAGACACCCCATCAATTCGAAAGCTAACAATAAGCCCATACTACTCTGCGTAAAACCAAGCAACCGTTGACACCCGGGAAGCAAGCGTCTCGCCGACTTTGATAGGGTTACTTTGAGTAGAGTTACTCTCGAAAAAATTAAAAAATTAAAATTAAACCATTTCTCAACATTCGCCCTTTCTTTTAACACCGAAAACAATTCCTTTTCTCGCCGTTTTTTCTCTTTCCATTCTCGCTTAGCTAATAATTTTTCGGCTTTTTCTTTGTCCGTTTCTTGAAGGCATTTTCCTTCTTAAAAATAATCTTTTGAAAGTATAAAAACACAGCCAAACCTTCAATTTTCGCTGCTTGTTTTTGTGAATCACTTTTTCTAGTTAGAAACGAAGGAATAAAATTTTTCAGCCCATTTTGTTCATTTGTTGGAGGCTCTCGATAAGTGATTAAAACTTGAAAAGAATTAATTTGAAAGGACAAAGAAACTCAGGGAAATAGAAAAATTAAATTTTGGAATGAATGTCTTATTGGGATAATAAACTTATTTTAAAAAAATAAAAGAGAAAAATCAAAATTAGTTCAAAAAAATGGAAATAGAAAACAGCTAAAAATTTTTCTTGCCCTTGACATTTTTAAAATATGTATCAGGGACCTAGCCGACAAAAATTAAATTCCCGATTTCGGGAATCAGGAATTCTCGATTGTTTTAATTCCCTATTTTCGGGAATCGGGATTCCCGACCCAAAAAACGTTCCGAACTCTCGATTTTCGGGAATCGGGTCGGCTAGATCCCTGATATGTATAGACCTTCGAAGTGTTCTTGTTTACTCTCCTTTGTTTCCTTTTGACTATCTAATAAGCGAATATTTGGCATAGCTTGTTCTTCATTTTCAAGCAAATTTGGGTCTGAAGTTGGTCCTCCAATTTCATTCTCTTCCACTTCATTAACGGAAGAAACATTTCCATCGTCTGCCTATAAATCCTCGAATATTGTCCGCAACACTTTTTAAAATAAAAATACCTTATTTCCCTCCTTTTTGTTTTTCCTTTTTTCCCTTCTTAAGCTCTCAACTCGTCTCACGTGGACATCTGTATTGGTCTTCCCTTCATTATATATATAAAATTGTTCATAAATTTCTTTAAAAGATTTGTCTGAATATTCTCCATATTTTGCATAAATTAAGCGAATAAATACAATTAAATAATTTTCAGGCCTCAAAGCTGGGAAGCAAATACACAAAAATAAATGGAACCAAAACCAAAAAATATCATAAGATTTCCATAAAGTAAAGAAAATACAATTGACATAAATTGCTGTTAACCTTCGGGGAAATAATATTTAGATACTATCGCATTATCTCCCAACTTTTTAATATTTGTTTCCATAGATGGAACAAATATTTTCATTTGTTTTGGAGAAGTGACGACGGTACATGGGGGAGCGGTTTGGCGCGACGTCTGGGGACAAGACTTTTGGGGACCCGACCACACTTTGTTACCAGACCTACTCCCAAGGTTATATGAAGTCTACGGACCATTGGTTATAAAATGTAGCTAGGTACTTTTGGTACTTTGGTTTTTGAATCTTACTTTGGCCGGTTGATACTTTGGCCAGTTGAATCTTATTGAGACTAACATGCTAATTAATCTACTGGTCACGCTCTACCGGCACGGCACGCTCATTGACCTTACCGTGAACGAAAAAAGAAAACGAAACAAAAATGTTGTGAGATAATACGATAAAGTACCAAATTTAAAAGATTTTTTTTAATTCTTAATAAAAAAAACCAATTAAAATGAGCAATTGTTGCAAGAATGAGGCGAAAACAAAACAAAAATTTGAACTTGCACCAACCCATGAAGCCAAATTAATTTTAATTTTAAATTAACATATTTTAAAATAAGGGAAGAGGATAGAGAAAATTTATCTACTGAAAAAAAAATTAAAAAAATAAAATTAAAATAGTCACGACATGAACGAAAGATATGAATAAAGAAAAATCAGTATACAGCGCTCTTTAAAAGGTTAAGGTTAAACCTTTAAAAGGTTTAAAAGGTAAAGCGCTCTTTAAACTCACTCTCTGAAGGAAAAAGAATCTACAAATCCTAAGCTTTCGAATAGTGAAAAAATTATTCGAATTGGTCGGAAACTGAAAAAGTTATAGTCAAAAAACGGGCAGAGGATTGAAAGGTTCACATAAAATATTTTCTTCGCTGAAAATTATGCGAGAAGATTTTAATTGCGAGACGAAATTAAATTTTTTAAAATGTAGAAAAAAAGAAAGACAAAAAAGTTTGTGTTTTACTCACCTCCCTAATTTTATTTAATAGTCTGAGTCATAAAAAAAGTTTGCATTGCAAAAGAGAAGTTTGCAAGAGAGAAGAGTTACCTTTATAATTTTTAAAACGTTCAACTTTTTGATATATCTTCTTTTAGAGTGTTTTTTTCACACCTGACGCTTTAAAAATAAAAAAAGCAAGGGTCACTAAATTGTGTTTAAACCTTAAAAATTTCTAATAGTATGAATCACTAATTAAAATAACTTGGAAAAAAATAAAAGTAAAGGCCATAAAATTTAAAATAAGAAGGGGATGTTTGGGCGCAAGAGTATTTTTGCGCATTTATAAATTGGCAAAATTAGCACCTAAAAAATTCCATAGTCCTTGGGCCGTGTTTCGGGTTTTCTTTTCGAAAAAAAGGCCGGGTTTCGGGTAACGAGTTTAGAGTAACCCGAGCCCCCCCCCCCCCCCCCCCGATTAGGAAAAGATACAGCATTCGAATGCTATAAAATTTATTTGTATTGGATCAAGCACAAAAAAGTTATAGCCGATCAAAGTCGTCTGGCACTAAGTTTGATGTCGTGTAACGGAAAATTAACGAATTAATTTTCCTATATAAGCGCTCATACTATAAAAGCAGTTTTTAACAATCCGCTTTAGTTCACTTCTACACATATCGCAAATAAAAATGGTTAGTTGTCCTTCTTTCATTTTACATCTAATCTCTCATACTTTTTAGGAGGGACGTTGGACTTGTCATCTCTTCGGTGCAGTGTTGTCGGCGTCGATCGGATCTTTCGAGTTTGGCTACAACATTGGCTGTATCAATATGCCTGGTATGCAACATGCTAAAAATTGATTAACAATTTTACATTTTAGCTGATCTAATCAAAGAATGGTTCGCGCTATCGTACAATAAGGGGCTCGCCATCCATGAAAAGAGAGCGACAGTCGATGATATGAAAACGGCATGGTGAGAGCTTCAAACGCCTTAAATCTCAAACACATTTCTTTTTTAAGGTCGATAGCTGTCAGTATCTTCGCCATTGGAGGAATTGCCGGAGGCCTTTCTTGTGGATACTTTGCGGATAAACTTGGACGGAAGACTGCCTTGCTGATGAATAATGTCGTTGCGCTCGTCGCCACAGGCTTCTTCGTCTTCGCAAAACTGTTTGACGTTCGGTACTTGTTCACCGCGGGCAGACTTATCATTGGAGTGAATGCCGGTGAATATTCCTTGACTGTAAAGTCATGAATAACCTTCCCTTCGTTCTAGGGTTGAATAGCGGTCTAGTGCCCATGTATCTGACAGAAATCTCTCCAGCAAACCTCCGCGGAACAATCGGCTCTTTTGCACAGCTATTCGTTACCATCTCAATTCTGGCCTCGCAAGTTGTCGGACTTCCATCTATTTTGGGGACTGCTGATCGATGGCCTTGGATCTTCTATGCCATATGTGTAAGGCATTTTTCATGCGCTTCAAATTTGCCTATGAGTTGATTAATTTGGATTTTTCTTTAACAGGTCCCTGCGATTTTGCAACTTTCCACGCTCTTGCTCTGCCCTGAAAGTCCCAAGTACACCATAAAAGTCGGCGACAACCATTTCCAGGCACAACAGGATTTGATAAAATTGCGAGGCCACGCAAAGGTGTTTTTGCTGTTTTCCTTTCTAAAATAATTTTGTAAATTTGTCAGGTCCAAGATGAGTTGATGGTAATTGCGGATGAAGCAAAGGCTGCAAAATCTGAAGAAATTAACTGTGCTGCTTTGTTTGGTCCATACCTTATCTGGCCTTTGGCTTTATCCACCTTCTTGATGTTTGCTCAGCAGCTTAGCGGGATCAATGCTGGTGAGAATAGACAGAATCTGTCTTAAAAAATAAATTTTCTTTCAATTTTAGTAATGTTCTACTCCACTGATATATTCAAGAGTGCTGGTCTTCAAGATCAATGTCAGTTCTCATTATAGTAAAGCAGCTGGGCTATAGCTATTTCTCTCCTTTAGCTAGTGCAAAAGGGTTAATCGGCGGCTGGGAGGGGACTATCATCTTCAGTAGACCGGACTGATGTGTTAGCTATTACACCACGCCGCCTACTGCACAGCCTTAGGAATTAAATAGCTATAAGCTTTACGATATTTAAATTTAGGGCCAAATTATGCCACGCTTGCTATGGGTGCCATCAATGTTCTGATGACTATTGCTTCTGTCTATTTCGTGAGAAAACTTGTGACGTTCAAAATATTCTTCAAACTTTCCTATTCTAGGTTGACAAACAAGGACGTCGAACGTTGCTACTTGGGAGCTTTATTGGAATGTTCGTCACCACAGCAATTATTGCAATCTCTATACTTTCCGCTAAACATGTTAAAGCCCTTCATTGGTTCTCCTATGTGGCAGTACTGGCCGTACTTGCATTTGTGATTTCCTTTGCTGCTGGGGCAGGTGATACCGATAATATTTTTTGAAAAATCATTTGCTCATTTTAAGGCTCAATTCCCTGGTTCTTCGTGAGCGAGGTGTTTCCCTTAAATGCTCGTGGGAAGGCCAACTCAGTCGCAGTTTTCACCAACTGGTTCTGCACGTTTGCTGTTGGAATGGCTTTCCCGTGGATTGAGGTAGAGTCGGTCTTTTTCAGCGACGCAGGCGAAATTTCGGAGATTTTTGGAAGGGCTAGGAGCCAGATTTCTTTTTTATACAAAAAAGGCAATCCTTAGGGGTGTATATTTACCCTTGGCGAGGTTCTGGGCGAGGACCGAGACGAGGTTCCGAGGCCCAAGATCATCGAGGTCGAGGTTTGAAAATGGGCGAGTACCTTGGCCTCGGTGAGACCTCGACCAACTCTAGATTGAGGCAACTTTAAAAAATTTGAAAATTTCCAAAAAAAATTTTTTTAGGGTTTAATGCACGAATTTTCCTTCCTGGTTTTCACTGGTCTTGTCGGCTTGTTCAGTCTATTCATTTGGAAGTACGTGCCAGAAACGAAGAATAAGACATTGATGGAGGTGTATGTCGAGATGGACCGTCGTAGGGGAATCCAGCGTGATTGGCATAATAAGGTGCAAGAAGAACCTGAGAAGACTAAATCGAAGACTAAAATTAATAAAGTACCTGAGAATACTAAAACTAAGGATAAGAAAATATATGATAATTTCTAAATGATATATGTAGTATCTAAAAAATTTTTTCCTGTAATATTGTATTTTGTATGACTATTGTATTTGTGTTCATATGTATATCCCTTGTTGATTCATTGTTTTTAATAACAAACCAGAATTTAATAAAAACAAAACCAGAATTTAATTAAAATAAAACCAGAATTTAATTAAAACAAATCAGAATTTAATAAAAACACACCAGAATTTAATAAAAACAAACCAGAATTTAATTAAAACAAATCAGAATTTAATAAAAACAAACCAGAATTTAATAAAAACAAAATCAGAATTTAATAAAAACAAACCAGAATTTAATTAAAACAAATCAGAATTTAATAAAAACAAACCAGAATTTAATTAAAACAAAATCAGAATTTAATAAAAACACACCAGAATTTAATAAAAACAAACCAGAATTTAATTAAAACAAATCAGAATTTAATAAAAACAAACCAGAATTTAATAAAAACAAAACCAGAATTTAATAAAAAACCAGAATTTAATAAAAACAAAACCAGAATTTAATAAAAACAAAATCAGAATTTAATAAAAACAAAACCAGAATTTAATAAAAAACCAGAATTTAATAAAAACACACCAGAATTTAATAAAAACAAACCAGAATTTAATTAAAACAAATCAGAATTTAATAAAAACAAAACCAGAATTTAATAAAAAACCAGAATTTAATAAAAACACACCAGAATTTAATAAAAACAAACCAGAATTTAATAAAAACACACCAGAATTTAATAAAAACAAACCAGAATTTAATTAAAACAAATCAGAATTTAATAAAAACAAACCAGAATTTAATAAAAACAAAATCAGAATTTAATAAAAACAAAACCAGAATTTAATAAAAAACCAGAATTTAATAAAAACAAAACCAGAATTTAATAAAAACAAAATCAGAATTTAATAAAAACAAAACCAGAATTTAATAAAAAACCAGAATTTAATAAAAACAAAACCAGAATTTAATTAAAACAAAATCAGAATTTAATTAAAACAAACCAGAATTTAATAAAAACAAAACCAGGATTTAATAAAAACAAAACCAGAATTTAATTAAAACAAACCAGAATTTAATAAAAACACACCAGAATTTAATAAAAACAAACCAGAATTTAATTAAAACAAAACCAGAATTTAATAAAAACAAAACCAGAATTTAATAAAAACAAACCAGAATTTAATTAAAACAAACCAGAATTTAATAAAAACACACCAGAATTTAATAAAAACAAACCAGAATTTAATTAAAACAAACCAGAATTTAATAAAAACAAAACCAGGATTTAATAAAAACAAAACCAGAATTTAATTAAAACAAACCAGAATTTAATAAAAACAAACCAGAATTTAATTAAAACAAACCAGAATTTAATAAAAACACACCAGAATTTAATAAAAACAAACCAGAATTTAATTAAAACAAACCAGAATTTAATAAAAACAAACCAGAATTTAATTAAAACACCAGAATTTATTTTAAACATTCATAAAAATTTCTGTTTTTCTTAATGTTTTTATAGATTTGACTTTTATTTTAAACCCCCCCCCTTTCTTTAAAATATTTTTGGAAGAAAAAATCGGCTTATAAAAAAGCATGTGTCTGTCACCAATGTATTAAAAACTAAAAAGCATGTGTAAAAATATTAGAGGAGAAGAAAAAAATTTTTAAAGCTCTGTCTGGTGACTTTGAATTGAAACATTTACTACATCTATAATATTATTTAAATATGTGAACAATAAAATCTTTAAAAAAATTTTTTCAATTTTTAATAAAATTTTTTTACATTTTATTGGATATAAAATTTTATTTTTTAAAGTTTTAAATATGATTCATTATTTTCTCAAAAGAATTTTGTTAATCTAAAACATTTTAATTTAAATCAGAATGTGTTTAAAACATTACAAATCAGAATTTGTATAAAACATTTTTATTTAAATCAGAATTTATTTAAAACCTTATAAACATCAGAATTTAGTTTAGACATATTAAGAATGAGAATATGTTTGAAACATTGAAACAGAATTTATTTAAAACATTAGAAACCAGAACCTATTTAAAACGTTAAAATTCAGAATTTTATTTACAACTTATTATAAGCCAGAATATATTTAAAACATGTTTTAATAAAATCAGAATTTATTTAAAACTTTTATTTAAACCAGAATTTATTTCAAACAAAAACCAGAATTTTTTTAAATTTAAATCAGAATTTTTTCGAAACATGTTTTAATAAAATCAGAATATATTTAGAACATCAAAGCAAAATTTATTTAAAAACAAAAACCAGAATTTATCTAAAATCAGAATTCGAACAAAACATATATTTATTTATATTCTCCCTCTAAAGTTATTACTTTCAAAAGAAAATCTTCCTTAAAATCCCAACTTCTAAAATAAAAATAATTTAATCGTGCTATTATTATCCACCCTAGCATTACCATATTACCAGCAAGTAATATCATTTAATTACTATTTTTGGAGCAAAATAATAATAAAACTAAGCCTCAAAGTAGGCAAATATTTGCTTTTAATGAGAGGGATACTTTTAAAGGATAATAATAGAAAAGTTTATTTTTTCTTTTTTTTTAATTTTAAGAATATTTTTATTGAGAGCTTTATGTAATTAAAACCTTTTTATTTTTATTTATTTTTCTTTTATTATTTTTGTGGTAAAATAGGGACGTTTAGGCGTTAGTTGAACAGTTCTTAAGCTATTTTTACTCCATAACTTTTTTTATCTTAAAGTTTTAATTTAATTCTTGGTATCATTCGAAAGCTCTGAATGTGCTGATTCTTATCACCAAAAATTTTAATTGTGTATGATTATTTTTTAAAATGTTATAGTCCAATAATCACAGAAAATCACGATTTTAGTTAATTAAACATCTACAACTTTTTGTAAAATTTTCCGATCGGAAAGGTCCAATTATATAAAATATTCTGCACATTTAGAGCTTTCGATTGATATATTATTTGCAATGACTAGTTAATAATTAAAAAAGTTATAGGCCAAAATGCTCCTCGACGCCCAAAAGAATGGCGCCGAAACATCCATTTTATTTTTTATTTCTAAAAATTATTTGGCATTTTTAAAAATTCTCTTGTGCCACTAATGAGAAGATGAAATAGAAAGGATATAGTAATTAAATGTGTGGACCCTTGGGCTATAATATGGCAAGGATTTTTTTGAGAGATTGCTCTCTAAAGGGATGCGCATTTCCTCCTCCACCGCCACTTCCTTTAATGCCGCCTTTTCCGGACAATTTTATTATTTTTTATCATTTTTCTTCACACATTCTCGATTTTAATAATAATGCCCTTTCTGAGGGGTAGAAAAAAATAAATATTTTTTATTTTATTTTTAAAAGAAAGCAATAATGGGGCAATAGAATTTTTGCCTAGCCTTATATTTATCAAAAAAATTTTTTACCCATTTTTTAAATTTTATTTCGAAAATCTTTTTTAAGATGTTTTTTCCTCGTATAATCACCAAAATAATATAGATAGGGATATTATTCACTCTAAAATTTGTGGAGAACCTAAAAAATGTTTTTACCATACTACTGCCGTATTTATCGGTATTTATCGATGTTTCGTATCGGTAGCACAGTACGGAATACCGACCGATACGAAATTCCGGGCTTTACTTATCAGATCAATCCTTTCTTACATTTTTCCTTATCTTTAGTTACAACATAAAATTTGCTACAAAAAATATAAAAAATGAAAATTTTAGTTTTTTAACAAAAATTGTTGACCTATTTTATAAGAAAAATCATGATTTTATTAAGTCTTGCAACCATAGCTTTTTTATTAATTAAACATAAATTCTGGTTTTTATCTTATTTTGAAGCAAATTCAATTCTCTATCGAATAATACTAAGAACATAAAAATTGGTTCCGACCTCGAAAAATTATAAGAGTTAACGCTACTCATGTAGACATCTATCAAGTCCTTCGGCCATAACTTCTGTTTTATTTAATCCTAAATTCTGATTTTCATCTTATTTTGTAGAAAATTCAATCCTCTATCGAATAATACCAAAACATTAAAATCGGTTCAGAAATCAAAAAGTTATAGGAGTTGACACTCGCATGGTTCACCTCCACGGACTACCGTTGTTTTTAATTAAAATTTATTTTTCTTTTAATTTTTTTTATTTTTATTCAATTTAATTCCCTTCAAACACTTTCCTGCAATTATTTTTATAACACCAAAAAATTTTTTTAAAAAATAAAAACAAAAATAAGCTTATAGAGTGCATCACACACATACTAGTCATTTTCTTTTAACAATTTCACAGAAATGAAAAAATATAGGAATAATGCTAATTAGCCGGAAACAATGAAAAAACAACAAACACCATTCTCTTTCTCTTTTTATTTTTATTTGGAATTTCGACAAAATAAAATCAGCTCTTGAGAGGGAATTTTAATTTAATCAGCTAGAGCAGGCTTCCCGTCGCAAGGCTATAACTTAAGATTAACCACACAAATCCATTATTACTTAGCAGGGATGTGCTTTTGTCTTTTCATCTTTCGCCGAATTTCCGCCTTTTTGGGTGTTTCTTTTGGAAGGCGCATTATTAACTAACGGGGCGTATTTTGATTTTTAGTTTTCTCCGGTTTCGACTTTTTGGGTGTTTCGCATTTCGCTTTCTAAACTAGCTTCGGCACACTCCTACTACCTAGCAGAGTGGGTCGGAATTACAATTTCCGACTTCCTAAAAAAGTTTGATTTCCGATTTCCGAGTTCCGCCTTTTGAGTCAGTTCCGATTTTCGGTTCTTCCGATTTCCGACGCCTTTGACTGTTCCGACCCACCTCTGCTAGCTAATATGCTTTGATTCATATCAGAGCTGAATTGAGCAATGCTAGAAACTCAAGGATTCGAAATTTTTAACCAAAGTTATCTCCTTAAAAAGGGAGAGGTCCATCACTTAAAGGCAGAGAGATCTTTGAAATTGCTAAAATCCACAATT